TACTGTAGCGCAGCTGTGATTTATTATATAATCATCAGCCAACCGGCGAGCGACGACGGCGAAAGAAAGTCACATGAGTAGCTTCGACCAATCAGCCCGTGACAAAAGCTGCTGCAACGGTCGCAGATCGCCGACGGGGTCTCAGTGCACACCAACGAGTGACGAGTGGTGTCTACCGCCGCCGGTTTGCGTATTTGTACGTGAGGCTTCGTTTACCGATTCGCGTCAGTGAAGCGTTTTTTCCGATCGCCCGCCGCCCCCTGTCGTCTGTGTCTCCAAAGCCATGTTCGACTATGACCAGAATCGCGGTAAGCACGCGAACAAACACATTAGGCACTGCCGCCATCCGGCCACTTTGGGGTCTTTTTAATTTAATTATTTGCGGTTGCCATCGGTGGAAGAGCGGCACTGGGTGAACGTTGATGCGTGCTTACTGGCCAATCGAATTCCGTCCTGCCTCACTGTGCTCTGAGCTTCTGCACGGCAAGCGGCTGTCGTCGCTTAGTGCAGCAACTCACACACTCCATGCTCTGTCCAACTCTCGTCAGTCCTTGTCGTCCCGCCCTCGGCTGTGCCTTCCCTCCATGGCTGCGCATTGGTGAGGCCCAGCTCCCTGTTCATTAGTAGCTAAAGCTGTAGCTAAACCTATAGCTGAACGTACATTGCCGCTCACTTGCTAACTTGTTTGTTTGTTTCACAGGTCACACGGGCGTCAATCAACTCGGCGGCGTGTTCGTCAACGGTCGACCCCTCCCGGACCACGTACGTCAGCGAATTGTCGAGCTGTCCAAGTCTGGTGTGCGACCGTGCGATATTTCTCGACAGCTGCGAGTGTCCCACGGATGCGTATCGAAAATCCTTGGCAGGTGAGTAGAGTTTGACAGTACACTTTTTTTCAACGGCTTGGTTTCGGCAGGATTAGTTTCGTCTGTTTATGTGCTAATGATTCCATAACAAACCAAATCTGTGTTCATATGTTGGCATTCTTCTCACCAGAGGTGACGATCCATAGAAACATCACTCTGCGGCCAAAACGAACGAGACTTGAAAATTAATTGGTTCGTGTAGACAGGGTAACTAGATCTGGTTTCATAAATTCGAGGTTCATTTCCCGTGCATCGATTTCCTTGAATTAGCTTGATTATGCTTCTAAGACACGAAGTCTCACCACTGACCAATACCACGACAGAAGAATTTTGCCTACCAATTCCAAAAGTTAGGGTTTCTTACAGTTTTGGACGCCAATGTATATTCTGGTCCCTGATATTGGCCAGCACAGAGAATCCTATTAATCAGACAAGATCATCGCTTCTGGTCGATGCTATAGTGAATAAAGAAATAACTAGAAACAGCCAAAAAATTTCTGTATGACTCCGTACCATAATACAACTTATATAGGCTCCAGTGTTTCGATTTATTTGTTGCTATATCATTGCGAAGTAGATGTCCAACACCCAGGAAAATGCTATCGCTCAACTTTGAGGTATTTCTAAGTGTGTATGTCTAAAGCAGAGTTTCGATCTTTGTTCTCATCAGAGGTTCATCCAATTTGACCAATTGCTTATTCATTTTGGAATGATATGAAAAGTCATAGAATTGGCTTCATTGCAACTCGTTCCGATCACAGAACATAATTCAAATTCAGCTTCAAGCGAGGATAGTTTAATTTAATTAATTGATTATAGATGAAACTTATTTTTGACGAGTTCTGACTCATTCTTTCTTTTTGACTCCCATTTTACGGATACATACGCTTTTCTTCTTCTTCCATTCGAAGACGACGATGCATATCGCACAAGAGTATATGTGCATTTCTATGAAATGCTATGAACGATACTGCTAACGCTGTACGAGACATTTAGTTTATTGAAACTCCCGGAACCTTTGTGAAGTTACATCGTGTTAGATTAACCAAACGTGTTGAATAGGAAATTGAAACAGCCAGTACAAATCAACTACAATCACTATTATCATGATCCTCACCAGCATCTGGCAATCCACCACTGCATAAAATTCTCGTAAAAGTTTAGCCATAAATTTCAGCTCTCTGATATTTTCATTCATCTTCATCCAGTGAACTTCCTCAACTCCTCCTGCCATATATCTGAAAGTCTCCCTACATGTCGTTTACTCTGTTTTGAAATCTGATCTAATGTCTCGGTGTTCCAGCAATGGTCAGTTGGAGTTTTATAAATGATCCGAATATCGTCCGCAAACTGCAACAGGTCTCAATACTGGGTTCAGCCTCTCCTTTTTCCATTGCTCTTGGAAATCTCTTGTGAACGATGTTGGTGATATTGTTCCTTATCGAACATAATGTTTGATTTTGAACTTGTTTTGCCTCAGTTAAGCATTATATAACATTTTCATTCATTTAAAAATGGAGATAAGGCAAACGTATTTTTTCTTGATTCCCTAGTTCCTCAAAAAATTCTGCACTGAACGGATGTAGAGTGAGCCGAGGGCCTTCTTGAAACAGAGGCCAAAAAGAAACTGATATTCTTTACTTCAATGAATTACTTGCTAAATCACATTATCCATCATGCCACATTCACTTCTTAATCTTGCTGGCTTCCTTGGTTAGACAGCCTTCATTTTTATTGAATTCAGTTCCTCAATACCTTCGTGAAGATCTTGTAGATGAGTTAGTCAGTCAGTCAGTCAGTCAGTCAGTCAGTCAGTCAGTCAGTCAGTCAGTCAGTCAGTCAGT